AGGAAGGGCAATCTGAGCACGAAAACGCCCAGAACGACAATCTGACCACGGAAACGCCAGGAAGGGCAATCTGAGCACGAAAACGCCCAGAACGGCAATCTGAGCACGAAAACGCACAGAAAGGCAATCGAAGCACAACAACGTGAGAACGGCAATCTGAGCACGAAAACGCCCAGAACGGCAATATAAACACCAGAATGCGCAGAACGGCAACCTGAGCACGAAAACGCCCAGAACGGCAATCTGAGCACGGGAACGCCCAGAACGGCAATCTGAGCACGGAAACGCCCAGAACGGCAATCTGAGCACAAAAACGCGCAGAACGGCAATCTGAGCACGGAAACGCCCAGAACGGCAATCTGTGCACGGAAACGCCCAAACGGCAATCTGAGCACGGCAACGCCCAGAACAGCAATCTGAGCACGGAAACGCCCAGAACGACAATCTGAGCACGAAAGCGCCCAGAATGGCCTGAGCACGGAAAACGCCCAGAACGGCAATCTAAGCACGGAAACGCCCAGAACGGCAATCTGTGCACGGAAACGCCCAGAAGGGCAATCTGAGCCGAAAACGCCCAGAACGGCAATCTGAGCACGAAAACGCCCAGAACGGCAATCTGAACATGGAAACGCTCAGAATGGCAATCTGAGCACGAAAACGCCCAGAACGGGAATTTGGGCACGAAAACGCCGAGAACTGCCATCTAAGCACGGGACTCTTCCAGGTGTGTTTCACTCTTCCAGGTGTGTCCGTGACTCTTCCGGATGTGTTCGCGTTGCACAATTGGCTCAGTTCAAGCGCAATTTTGGTGCAGTTGACTGAAAGGCTTCCCTCACACACTTCAGATGACAGGCTTGTCCGAGTGCCCTTTTTGTGGCTTGCCTGTGCCTGATGCTTTTCTGATGCTGCACCTTAGCCAAGCACACCCAGGATATCTTGAAAGATTTAGTGGCAGTGCTTCCTCTTCGTCTCCACCGTTGCCCATTTTGGGCGGGTCGCCAGTCCGAGCTAGGAGCTCTGTCCTTTTGAGTCCTGATTCTAGATCAATGGCGTCCCCACTCGCAATAGCAGCGCCCCCGTCTTCTTCAGCTATCGTCCCTGCTCCAGTATCTCATTCCTCTGTTGGATTCCAAAGCTGTGTCGATATGGACTTGACGAATTTGTTGGTATGGATCAAAAACAGAAGCGAGGCTGGTCTCTTGTCTGATTTACTGACAGCTTCTATCGTCAGACCTCTCGGCCGGTGCAGCTGCAGTCAAACTCCCATTCTACGACCAGGATCGCGTCCCAGTCAATCCAAAAAAAACAAAGGACATGGTCCTATCGCGTGCACGCGGTGCCCCAAGTGTGAAGCGAGAGGCTCGGTCAACTACGATGGGACGCCCTTTGAGGGCCAGCGTGATAAGTTGGGACTTACAACGACTCTGAGCACCGTGGCACACTGGTTAGATGGATCAACTGTAACACGGACTGCCAGAGAATTGAAAGTTTGGGACGGGACAGTGCGTTCAGTTTGGGATTCCTGTAGAAGTATTGTGGCTTGGCATCAAAGAAGCTTGCCACGAGTCGCCAATGAAGATTGCATCATTGATATAACGTGGGGACCCCACAGGAGACGCATTCGATACGGAGTTCCTGCTAGACCATTAAAATACGAAAGCTATACGTTCCAGGTGGCCGTTGCTTACCGCATGGAAGTGGGAGTGCGCAGATTTCTGCCAGGATCTCTCAGAATCGAGCGAGTCCTGAGCAAGGACGCGACTTACGAAAAAAATGTAGCCCTTACCATGTTGGATCCGTCTTGTCGTCTGACAACAGACCAGGGGAGCGAATGGGCGCGGTTGCCCCAGGTATTCGCTTCGGCTGCTACAGTCAATCACTCAATCGAATGGGTTGCGCAGGATGGCGCGACGACTAACCTAGGCGAAGCCTACAACGGCATCATCAAAAAAACTTGGCTCGGAACTGCATATATGGAAAGGTCGAGTCTCTGATGATAAACTGGAGACGCGCTGGCACGAGCTCGCTTGGCGCATAAACTCTGGATTCAACAAATCAAATGTTCCAGCTGGTTCAAAATTGATTGGGTTCCTCAATGTATTAACTCTATACCAATCGAGTACAGCAGGATCCAGTCCACCAGTCTGCTCCGAGGCAAGGCGCGCCGCAGAGATGCGTGCCATTACCGCTCCGTCAGGTGAGCACCGCGTTCGTAGGTTCCCGTCAAAACGACAAGAGACCTTGAAAGAGTGCTGGCGAACTTTACGGGGATGGCTTAAAAGTGGTAGCAACAAGTTAGAATTACCTGGTTTGTCCAAAGCTCAACGGTTTTACTGTCACCAGTGGTCCGAGTGCTTCCATGGTATTCTGCATAGTAGCTCCGGAAGCGAGGCGAACCGAGTCTTGGTTCTGAAAAGAGGGCAGCGCGTGCATCGCAAACAATTACGCGTGGAGCCGGAGAACCACCCAGACGATGCAGAACACGATGCAGAAGATCCGTCAGATGGAGAACCCAGTACGGACGCAACAGGAGAGACCTCAGATTCCTATGAAGATTCTGATGACGCCCCACTCGTACCCCGAAAGCGGCCAGCAACACGAACCGAGGTTTCTGTGGAAGCTGTCTCGTCTGGGGAAGCTGCCGACGAGCTTGTCGAGTCCAGCGCTGGCGACTTAAATGAGGTGCTGGCGCAATATGGCAAACAGATTGACGAGAGCACACCCAGAGATGGTCATTGCTTATATCACGCACTGAGGAAATTGAATTTTGTAGGCAGCGAGGTTTCTATTTCGGAAATGCGGAGCAAGGCCGTGGCAGCAGCAGACGTAGAAATGCTCGCCGTGGCTGGTCTAAACATGGGCCGATCTTTGGACGAGCATACAGCAAAGCAGCTCACAGACGATTACGCGGACGATTGTATTCTAGGTGCTTTGGCTCGGGCATACGATAGATCGGTTACTGTCGTGAATCTTACGAGCATCCGCAGTTTCACACCCTTTTCAGTGGATATCGATGGTCCTGTTGAGAACGCTGTTTGGGTGGCTCACAATAATATCAATCATTATTACGGTACTCAGCCTGCAAAGCAGATTGGGAGTTTTTCTGGTTTTTCGGATTTCCTGCAAAGCAGCAGGGGTTCCAGAGAAGGCCAGCAGCAGCAAGACAAGCCGCCCCCTCCGAAGAAGAGCAGGACGGCGCCAAAACATATCATAATCACACAATCTGGGAGGAGAAAGGGAGGTGAGGGATGAGATCGGGTCCTTTGCTCCGATTGCCGATTCGAGCGTTTCCGTGCTCAGGTTGCCGATTCGAGCGTTTCCGTGCTCAGATTGCCGATTCGAGCGTTTCCGTGCTCAGATTGCCGATTCGATCGTTTCTGTGCTCAGATTGCCGATTCGAGCGTTTCCGTGCTCAGATTGCCGATTCGATCGTTTCCGTGGTTTCGTGCTCTTCAGATTTGTCTTTTTTTTCTTTTATTTCTTTTTTTTTTTTGTTTTTTTTGTTTTTTTTTTTTCTTGTTTTTTTATTAAAAGAAGCATCAATCTAGATTCGAGCGTTCGCGTGCTCGGGTTCCTTTTTTTTTTTCTTTTTTTTTTTTTTTTTTTTTTTTTTTTCTTTTGTTCTTTTTTTTTTAATTTTTTTTTTTCTTCTTTTTGATGCTCCTCGCGGATTCGAGCGTTCCGTGCGCGGTTAATTTTTATTCCGATTGACGATTCGATCGCTTCCGTGCTCAGATTGATTTGGTGATAGACGATTTCGGAGCGTTCGTGCTTCAGATTGCGGCTTCGAGCGTTTCGTGGTTCAGAATTGACGATTCGAGAGTTTCCGTCGTGGCCTCAGATTGCGGATTCGAGAGTTTTTCTGTGCTTTTTTTTTTCTTTTTTCTTTTTCTTTTCAGATTGCGGATTCGAGCGTTTCATGTGCTCAGGATTGCCGATTCGAGCGTTTCCATGCTCAGATTGCTATTCTGGGCACGCCCGCTCGGGAGAGTGCAAAAACAGGCTCAGATTGCTATTCTGGGCGCGCCTGCTTGGGAGAGCGCCAAAACAGGCTCAGGTTGCCGTTCTGGGCGCGCCCGCTCGGGAGAGCGCCAAAACATGCTCAGATTGCTATTCTGGGCGCGCCTGCTTGGGAGAGCGCCAGAACAAGCTCAGATTGCTATTCTGGGCGCGCCTGCTCGGGAGATTGCCAAAGCAGGCTCAGATTGCTATTCTGGGCGCGGAGAGCGCCAAAACAGGCTCATATTGCTATTATGGGCGCGCCCGCTCGGGAGAGCGCCAAAACAGTCTCAGATTGCTATTCTGGGCGCGCCCGCTCGGGAGAGCGCCCAAACCAGGGCGCGCCTGCTCGGGAGAGCGCCAAAACAGGTTCAGATTGCTATTCTGGGCGCTCCTGCTTGGTGTGATTGGGCAGGTGCTTTAAACCATGGCAAAATATTTTATACATGTGACTCCTCTGTAGAGAAGTGCAGAGGTTTAAACGACCGCCATTTTCTGCAAAGCTTTTCCGCCCTTTCGCCCGCCACAGGACGCCGACCAGGTTCTGGACCGCGAAGATTCGCGCCAAGGCTTGACCCCTCCGTGCCTCAAGCAGTGGCGAAGCGTCTTGGCTCGCCTATAGCCCTACCAAACCATGTTCAAATAACCTTTTGTGGCTTGCTGGAAATGTTCTTAGAACATTTCGGGCTGGGACTGTCCGTTTTGGCTCGAGGCTCCGAGGATCGCCCCAAGACGGCCCAATAGCCTTCAAAAGCGCCCGATGACGGAGTTTTAGTAGCCATGTCGGCCGCGCGTTGCTGCTTGCTGCTCGCCGTGGCAGGCAGCTCTGCCGTCATGGCAAGGGCTCCCTCGAGGGCGCGAAGTTATTCGCGCTTCGCGGTCCTCGTTCCTTCTCCCCCTCCTCCTCGTCCTCCTATTCTCCCTTTGGGAGGGCGGCGCGAGAGCGCGAAGTTATTCGCGCTTCGCGCAGCGCGAAGCGCGAAGTTGGGAGCCCTAGGAAGGTGCACGTGAGCGTCGAGGTGCTGGAGAGCGAAGGAATGCTTATTAGCAACACCGCGATCGAGGAGCCGGCCCGCATAGAAACTGCAGATCTGTTCACGCAGCTCGGGGTGTCCTGGTTGGCGCTGGTGCTCAGCGGCGGCGTCTTCGTCATCTTGCCCAGGTACCAGACACTGGCGCAGTTACTCCTTTTCTTCGGGGCCCAGAACTTCATGAACTTGTTGTACATCAAGGCGATCCTGTCCATCCACACGGTCTCCCAGGAGCTCAACATACGGGGCTTCCAGGCGCCCCTAGTGCTGACGGCCAGCAGCTCGCGGGCTTCCTCTTCCTCGCGCTGGCGATCCTTGTGTCCCAGCTGACGCCGTGGGCCTACAGGCCGCACACCATCGTCAGCAAGGACCAGGCCTTCGCGGTGATGGCCCTCGCAGTGTGCTTCACCCTGAACATCGCCCTCAACAACTTCAGCCTCTCGCTCCTGGACATGTCCGTTGACGTTATTGTCTGCGCCACGAGCCCGCTGATGTCTCTTCTCCTGCAGCTGTGCTTTCCTGCGAAGGTAGGCATGGTGCTACTCGGCGTCATCTGCGCGGCGCTGGTGGTCATCTCCAAGAGCGCCCAGAAGAAGACGACGGCCCAGAACTAGGGCGGCGGCAGCGACACGCTGGGTCTCCCTGGAGCTCATCGTAGTGGTGATTCTTGGCAAGGGGTCAAGCTGAACGCTATCGACTTGCTTATTTACATGGCCATTCCAATCGTCGTGCTGCTGTTGTTGCCCATCTACTTGATCAAGCACCCCGTGTCTTATCCTGGGTACGAGATGGCCACGAATTTCAGCGTGTTCGTGGAGATCGCCCAGCTGAGCCTCGGCACCGTGGTGCCGGTGATGCTGTCCGGCATCTGGGCCCTCGGCTACAACCTCTTGCTGTACAACATTGTCAGGGACCTCTCCCCGTTCTTCGCGTCGTTTGCCGCAAACTTCAAAAGGTGGCGGCCATCGCCCTGGCCCTGCTCATGGGCATGGAGTCGCTGCAGGCCGGCCGCTGGAAGTGCCTGATGTGCGCGGGCGTGGCGGGGAACATTGCGGCCTGCACCGCGTGCAGCCTGTGGCCGCCGCAGCCGAAGAAGGAGCTCTCTGAAGAATGCAGCAGGGCTCTGCTGCAAAAAAGGCGGACGCCTGAGGCCCTCGCCACTCTCGCCGAGGAGCGCCGAGAAGGGCGCCGGGCGCCTTGGCGTCGAAGGAGTGCCGTCAGGCGCGCGCGCGCGCATGGCGTGCGTCGAGTGATCTCGCGCCCTGACGGCCGCGGCTAATTTAGGCAGCCTGCGAATCGCTGAACCGCTGTGCGCACGGAGTCTTACCCCTTCTCTCCTCTTCCCGCTCCTCCTCCTGTTCCTCGCCGGGGAGCAGGTGGAGGATATCTCTTAGATCCGTCGGTGCCCATGTCTTTTAGAGGAGCAGGCAGTGCTCGAGGCCTGACGAGGACACTGCCTAGATTCGGTGGATCGCGCAAACCTCGTCCTCATGACGAGGCATGAGCTCCTCCGACTGCACCGAAACGAGATACTATCTGACGCTGTCGGCTGTGGTGGTCGTTTCCTAGTTTCATTGTTGGCGATCGAATGTTCAGAAAGCGAATTGGTCGGCGCCTCAGTATGTGTGCAGTTCGTGCCAAATTCGCCCTTTTGTTCTATCTTTTCACTCCAGTGGCAGCGCGGAGTTTCGCTACGCTTTGTGTGTGCACCCGTGGATTTTTTACCAGGCGAGTTTGCGCCAAGCGATGCGTTTCTACCAGTGTGTGTGTGTATATATATATATATATATATATACATATACATATATATACAAACACTCCTCCTCATCTGCTGCCCCGAGCACGGGCAGGGTCGCCAGCGAGCAGCAGTGCGGCCAATTTCCGGCAAATGCTGGCGCACGGCGCCGAGTTTTGTTTTTTTTGTGCGGCCGCCCCGAGCATAGGCAAGGCCACCAGCTTTCCCCCGGACCGCCGTCTCCTCGGTGCCCCCATCAGCCCTTCTATCCTTCCCTCCGTCCTCTTCCCTCCTTTCCCTCCCTTAGGGGAGTGCACTGGCAAAGACAGCTGGCACGATGCGTTGCGAGATCTTTGCGCAGTGACCAGCCAGGGCAGCGGCATATTGGCAAGGCTTATCCAAGCAGCCAGGCTTGCTACCTTGGCGTACCTTCGTGCTCTCGTACTTCTGCAGGTTTATCCGTCAGCTGGCTCCTCAGCACTCTTCTTTGCCACTTACCCTTGGCTAGCTGCAGATTCATGTTGCTCGAGGCGTCGGTGCTGGCGCTCTGCGGACAGAAAACATTTCGGGCTGGGACTGGCTTGTTTTGACACATCGGGCTTATGTTCTAAGACCATTGTTTTTGTTATTAGAACATGGTGGGGTTCTAAGAACATTTCGTGGTAGGACTACAGGAATGCCGGGAAGGTCGGTTGGGACTGGCTTGTTTTAACACATCGGGCTTATGGTCTAAGACCACTGCTTTTGTTATTAGAACATGGTGGGGTGCTAGGAACATTTCGTGGTAGGACTACAGGAATGCCGGGAAGGTCGGTTGGGACTGGCTTGTTTCAACACATCGGGCTTATGTTCTAAGACCATTGCTTTTGTTATTAGAGCATGGTGGGGTTCTAGGAGCATTTCGTGGTAGGACTACAGGAATGCCGGGAAGGTCGGTCCCTGCTCAAGTGTCGGCGTGGAACTGGCCGCGCGCGGCATCCGCGCGGCAGCCCGCGGGTGGCACCCCTCGGCCCGAGTTCTCCAGGGCTGGCTGCGCCCCTCACCTCCTCCCCAGACCCCCTCGAGTTATGACAAAATCACGACGGGAGGTTTTTCATTATTTTTGGCCTCTGGGGGCCCTTACCGGCCCTCGGGACCGTCAAAAAACGACTCAGGACGAAAAACCGGTCCCGGCGAATAGGTCCGGACCTCTGGGGGTCGCGTCATGAAAAAATCATGACGTCGGGGGTCTGGGTCTACCTCTCCGGTCCAGCCTGCCGGCCTGCCTTTCCTGTCTTGCTTGCCAGTCTGCCTCCTAGCTCGCCGTCCTACGTGACCTCGCCGTCGCTGCGGGATTGCGAACTGCGACACCGTCGCAACTGTCGAGTGTTGCTGGGGGTGTACAGCGGAGTGACGTCATACGCGGATTCAGATTGGACCTCACCATGCTTGGGGGGCTGCACACTGCGAAACTGTCGCCACTTGCGAGGACCGCTGGGGGTCCAGCGGAGTGGGGTTCCAAGCGGACCTAAATTTGATTTCGCCATCCTTGAGGGGGGGGCTGCGATCTGCCAAACTATCGCTACTTTCGAGGGCTGCCTTCACGAATCTAAATCAGACCTCGCCATCCCTGGGGGGGGCGCTGCGAACCGCGAAACTGTCGCCCCTTTCAAATGCTGCTGGGGGTCCAGCGGAGTGGGGTCCCACGCGGACCGAAAGAAGACTTCGCCATTCCTGTGGGGGGCTGCGATCTGCCAAGCTGTCGCCACTTTCGAGGGCTGCTGGGGGGTCAATCGGAGTGGGGTCCCGCGCGGACATAAATTGGACCTCGCGTTAAGCTTCGAGGGTTAGGCTGTTAGGGGTAGGGTAAGGGTGTTCGGGCTAATGTGCGTTAGGGGTGGGGGTGAGGTCTTAGAGTTAAGGTTCGGGTCCTAGGGTTAGGGTGTTCGGGGTAGGGCAGCGTGTTAGGATACGGTTTAGGGTGTTCGGCTTATGGGTGCAGGTCTGTGGTTCAGGTGTTAGTGTCAGGGTGTCAGGGATTAGGGCGTTGGGGTTATGGTTTGGGTTAGGGTGATAGGGTTTTAGGGTTAGGGTGTTGGTTTTGGATGGCAGGGTGGTGGGGTGTTAGGGTTAGGATGCTCGGGTTCGGGCATTAAAGTACAGGCTCGGATTCTTTGGGAAGGAGAATGGCCGCCAGCGTCACCGCCAGTGCCCCAGCGTGCCGAAGAGCCGACGCCGCAGGCTGCTTCGTGGCCCCGCTGGCCCCAGCGCCAGGAGCGAAGATCCGCTCCGCCCCTGGCTTCGCGATGAGTTTGCTTGGCGTTCTCCATGCAGTGCCCAGCTCGGCGGCACCTCCGCAGAGGCACCGCGCCTCCACACTCGCCAAGACGATGGGCTCGCCAGCTGCTCGGCATCGACGTAGCCCCCCTGCAGCACCACGCAGTTGAAGTCTGACAGGCCCTCACGAGCCTCGTTGCCGAAAGCCGGCTCAACACGCCGCCCACTGCAGGGCAGGCCCTGCAGGTGCGCGCGATCTGTCTTTCTGGTTCAAACAGGTTTACATAATTATTCCGTCGTTTAAACCTCTGCAACTCTTCAGAGAGAAACCAAAGTTATAAAGAATTTTATCATGGTTTAAACACATGGAGAGATTTGGTGAGGTTTAAAGAACCGCTCGTGTAGAGTACTGGGTGCGGGGACGGAAGCGCCCAGAACGGCAATCTGAGCACGGAAGCGCCCAGAACGGCAATCTGAGCACGGAAACGCCCAGAACGGCAATCTGAGCACGGAAACGCCCAAAACGCAGCAACCTGAGCACAGAAACGCCCAGTACGGCAATACGAGCACGGAAGCGGCCAGTACGGCAATACGAGCACGGAAGCGGCCAGAACGGCAATCTGAGCACGGAAACGCCCAGAACGGCAATCTAAGCACGGAAACGCCCAAAACGGCAATCTGAACGCAGAAACGCCCAGAACAGCAATCTGAGCACGGAAACGCCCAGAACAGCAATCTGAGCACGGAAACGCCCAGAACAGCAATCTGAGCACGGAAACGCCCACAAGGCAAGCAATCTGAGCACGAAAACGCCCACAAGGCAAGCAATCTGAGCACGGAACCGCCCACAAGGCAAGCAACCTGAGCACAGAAACGCCCAGTACGGCAATACGAGCACGGAAGCGCCCAGAACGGCAATCTGAGCACAGAAACGCCCAGAACGGCAATCTGAGCACGGAAACGCCAGGAAGGGCAATCTGAGCACGAAAACGCCCAGAACGACAATCTGAGCACGGAAACGCCAGGAAGGGCAATCTGAGCACGAAAACGCCCAGAACGGCAATCTGAGCACGAAAACGCACAGAAAGGCAATCGAAGCACAACAACGTGAGAACGGCAATCTGAGCACGAAAACGCCCAGAACGGCAATATAAACACCAGAATGCGCAGAACGGCAACCTGAGCACGAAAACGCCCAGAACGGCAATCTGAGCACGGGAACGCCCAGAACGGCAATCTGAGCACGGAAACGCCCAGAACGGCAATCTGAGCACAAAAACGCGCAGAACGGCAATCTGAGCACGGAAACGCCCAGATCGGCAATCTGTGCACGGAAACGCCCAAACGGCAATCTGAGCACGGCAACGCCCAGAACAGCAATCTGAGCACGGAAACGCCCAGAACGACAATCTGAGCACGAAAGCGCCCAGAATGGCCGGAGCACGGAAAACGCCCAGAACGGCAATCTAAGCACGGAAACGCCCAGAACGGCAATCTGTGCACGGAAACGCCCAGAAGGGCAATCTGAGCCGAAAACGCCCAGAACGGCAATCTGAGCACGAAAACGCCCAGAACGGCAATCTGAACACGGAAACGCTCAGAATGGCAATCTGAGCACGAAAACGCCCAGAACGGGAATTTGGGCACGAAAACGCCGAGAACTGCCATCTAAGCACGGGACTCTTCCAGGTGTGTTTCACTCTTCCAAGTGTGTCCGTGACTCTTCCGGATGTGTTCGCGTTGCACAATTGGCTCAGTTCAAGCGCAATTTTGGTGCAGTTGACTGAAAGGCTTCCCTCACACACTTCAGATGACAGGCTTGTCCGAGTGCCCTTTTTGTGGCTTGCCTGTGCCTGATGCTTTTCTGATGCTGCACCTTAGCCAAGCACACCCAGGATATCTTGAAAGATTTAGTGGCAGTGCTTCCTCTTCGTCTCCACCGTTGCCCATTTTGGGCGGGTCGCCAGTCCGAGCTAGGAGCTCTGTCCCTTTGAGTCCTGATTCTAGATCAATGGCGTCCCCACTCGCAATAGCAGCGCCCCCGTCTTCTTCAGCTATCGTCCCTGCTCCAGTATCTCATTCCTCTGTTGGATTCCAAAGCTGTGTCGATATGGACTTGACGAATTTGTTGGTATGGATCAAAAACAGAAGCGAGGCTGGTCTCTTGTCTGATTTACTGACAGCTTCTATCGTCAGACCTCTCGGCCGGTGCAGCTGCAGTCAAACTCCCATTCTACGACCAGGATCGCGTCCCAGTCAATCCAAAAAAAAACAAAGGACATGGTCCTATCGCGTGCACGCGGTGCCCCAAGTGTGAAGCGAGAGGCTCGGTCAACTACGATGGGACGCCCTTTGAGGGCCAGCGTGATAAATTGGGACTTACAACGACTCTGAGCATCGTGGCACACTGGTTAGATGGATCAACTGTAACACGGACTGCCAGAGAATTGAAAGTTTGGGACGGGACAGTGCGTTCAGTTTGGGATTCCTGTAGAAGTATTGTGGCTTGGCATCAAAGAAGCTTGCCACGAGTCGCCAATGAAGATTGCATCATTGATATAACGTGGGGACCCCACAGGAGACGCATTCGATACGGAGTTCCTGCTAGACCATTAAAATACGAAAGCTATACGTTCCAGGTGGCCGTTGCTTACCGCATGGAAGTGGGAGTGCGCAGATTTCTGCCAGGATCTCTCAGAATCGAGCGAGTCCTGAGCAAGGACGCGGCTTACAAAAAAAATGTAGCCCTTACCATGTTGGATCCGTCTTGTCGTCTGACAACAGACCAGGGGAGCGAATGGGCGCGGTTGCCCCAGGTATTCGCTTCGGCTGCTACAGTCAATCACTCAATCGAATGGGTTGCGCAGGATGGCACGACGACTAACCTAGGCGAAGCCTACAACGGCATCATCAAAAAACTTGGCTCGGAACTGCATATATGGAAAGGTCGAGTCTCTGATGATAAACTGGAGACGCGCTGGCACGAGCTCGCTTGGCGCATAAACTCTGGATTCAACAAATCAAATGTTCCAGCTGGTTCAAAATTGATTGGGTTCCTCAATGTATTAACTCTATACCAATCGAGTACAGCAGGATCCAGTCCACCAGTCTGCTCCGAGGCAAGGCGCGCCGCAGAGATGCGTCCATCACCGTTCCGTCAGGTGAGCACCGCGTTCGTAGGTTCCCGTCAAAACGACAAGAGACCTTGAAAGAGTGCTGGCGAACTTTGCGGGGATGGCTTAAAAGTGGTAGCAACAAGTTAGAATTACCTGGTTTGTCCAAAGCTCAACGGTTTTACTGTCACCAGTGGTCCGAGTGCTTCCATGGTATTCTGCATAGTAGCTCCGGAAGCGAGGCGAACCGAGTCTTGGTTCTGACAAGAGGGCAGCGCGTGCATCGCAAACAATTACGCGTGGAGCCGGAGAACCACCCAGACGATGCAGAACACGATGCAGAAGATCCGTCAGATGGCGAACCCAGTACGGACGCAACAGGAGAGACCTCAGATTCCTATGAAGATTCTGATGACGCCCCACTCGTACCCCGAAAGCGGCCAGCAACACGAACCGAGGTTTCTGTGGAAGCTGTCTCGTCTGGGGAAGCTGCCGACGAGCTTGTCGAGTCCAGCATTGGCGACTTAAATGAGGTGCTGGCGCAATATGGCAAACAGATTGACGAGAGCAGGAAATTGAATTTTGTAGGCAGCGAGGTTTCTATTTCGGAAATGCGGAGCAGGGCCGCGGCAGCAGCAGACGTAGAAATGCTCGCCGTGGCTGGTCTAAACATGGGCCGATCTTTGGACGAGCATACAGCAAAGCAGCTCACAGACGATTACGCGGACGATTGTATTCTAGGTGCTTTGGCTCGGGCATACGATAGATCGATTACTGTCGTGAATCTTACGAGCATCCGCAGTTTCACACCCTTTTCAGTGGATATCGATGGTCCTGTTGAGAACGCTGTTTGGGTGGCTTACAATAATATCAATCATTATTACGGTACTCAGCCTGCAAAGCAGATTGGGAGTTTTTCTGGTTTTTCGGATTTCCTGCAAAGCAGCAGGAGTTCCAGAGAAGGCCAGCAGCAGCAAGACAAGCCGCCCCCTCCGAAGAAGAGCGGGACGGCGCCAAAACATATCATAATCACACAATCTGGGATGAGAAAGGGAGGTGAGGGATGAGATCGGGTCCTTTGCTCCGATTGCCGATTCGAGCGTTTCCGTGCTCAGGTTGCCGATTCGAGCGTTTCCGTGCTCAGATTGCCGATTCGAGCGTTTCCGTGCTCAGATTGCCGATTCGATCGTTTCCGTGCTCAGATTGCCGATTCGAGCGTTTCCGTGCTCAGATTGCCGATTCGATCGTTTCCGTGCTCAGATTGCCGATTCGAGCGTTTCGGTGCTCAGATTGCCGATTCGAGCGTTTCCGTGCTCCGATTGCCGATTCGATCGCTTCCGTGCTCAGATTGCCGATTCGGCGTTTCCGTGCTCAGATTGCGGATTCGAGCGTTTCCGTGGTCAGATTGCCGATTCGAGCGTTTCCGTGCTCAGATTGCGGATTCGAGCGTTTCTGTGCTCAGATTGCGGATTCGAGCGTTTCATGTGCCCAGGATTGCCGATTCGAGCGTTTCCATGCTCAGATTGCTATTCTGGGCACGCCCGCTCGGGAGAGTGCAAAAACAGGCTCAGATTGCTATTCTGGGCGCGCCTGCTTGGGAGAGCGCCAAAACAGGCTCAGGTTGCCGTTCTGGGCGCGCCCGCTCGGGAGAGCGCCAAAACATGCTCAGATTGCTATTCTGGGCGCGCCTGCTTGGGAGAGCGCCAGAACAAGCTCAGATTGCTATTCTGGGCGCGCCTGCTCGGGAGATTGCCAAAGCAGGCTCAGATTGCTATTCTGGGCGCGGAGAGCGCCAAAACAGGCTCATATTGCTATTATGGGCGCGCCCGCTCGGGAGAGCGCCAAAACAGTCTCAGATTGCTATTCTGGGCGCGCCCGCTCGGGAGAGCGCCCAAATCAGGGCGCGCCTGCTCGGGAGAGCGCCAGAACAGGTTCAGATTGCTATTCTGGGCGCTCCTGCTTGGTGTGATTGGGCAGGTGCTTTAAACCATGGCAAAATATTTTATACATGTGACTCCTCTGTAGAGAAGTGCAGAGGTTTAAACGACCGCCATTTTCTGCAAAGCTTTTCCGCCCTTTCGCCCGCCACAGGACGCCGACCAGGTTCTGGACCGCGAAGATTCGCGCCAAGGCTTGACCCCTCCGTGCCTCAAGCAGTGGCGAAGCGTCTTGGCTCGCCTATAGCCCTACCAAACCATGTTCAAATAACCTTTTGTGGCTTGCTGGAAATGTTCTTAGAACATTTCGGGCTGGGACTGTCCGTTTTGGCTCGAGGCTCCGAGGATCGCCCCAAGACGGCCCAATAGCCTTCAAAAGCGCCCGATGACGGAGTTTTAGTAGCCATGTCGGCCGCGCGTTGCTGCTTGCTGCTCGCCGTGGCAGGCAGCTCTGCCGTCATGGCAAGGGCTCCCTCGAGGGCGCGAAGTTATTCGCGCTTCGCGGTCCTCGTTCCTTCTCCCCCTCCTCCTCGTCCTCCTATTCTCCCTTTGGGAGGGCGGCGCGAGAGCGCGAAGTTATTCGCGCTTCGCGCAGCGCGAAGCGCGAAGTTGGGAGCCCTAGGAAGGTGCACGTGAGCGTCGAGGTGCTGGAGAGCGAAGGAATGCTTATTAGCAACACCGCGATCGAGGAGCCGGCCCGCATAGAAACTGCAGATCTGTTCACGCAGCTCGGGGTGTCCTGGTTGGCGCTGGTGCTCAGCGGCGGCGTCTTCGTCATCTTGCCCAGGTACCAGACACTGGCGCAGTTACTCCTTTTCTTCGGGGCCCAGAACTTCATGAACTTGTTGTACATCAAGGCGATCCTGTCCATCCACACGGTCTCCCAGGAGCTCAACATACGGGGCTTCCAGGCGCCCCTAGTGCTGACGGCCAGCAGCTCGCGGGCTTCCTCTTCCTCGCGCTGGCGATCCTTGTGTCCCAGCTGACGCCGTGGGCCTACAGGCCGCACACCATCGTCAGCAAGGACCAGGCCTTCGCGGTGATGGCCCTCGCAGTGTGCTTCACCCTGAACATCGCCCTCAACAACTTCAGCCTCTCGCTCCTGGACATGTCCGTTGACGTTATTGTCTGCGCCACGAGCCCGCTGATGTCTCTTCTCCTGCAGCTGTGCTTTCCTGCGAAGGTAGGCATGGTGCTACTCGGCGTCATCTGCGCGGCGCTGGTGGTCATCTCCAAGAGCGCCCAGAAGAAGACGACGGCCCAGAACTAGGGCGGCGGCAGCGACACGCTGGGTCTCCCTGGAGCTCATCGTAGTGGTGATTCTTGGCAAGGGGTCAAGCTGAACGCTATCGACTTGCTTATTTACATGGCCATTCCAATCGTCGTGCTGCTGTTGTTGCCCATCTACTTGATCAAGCACCCCGTGTCTTATCCTGGGTACGAGATGGCCACGAATTTCAGCGTGTTCGTGGAGATCGCCCAGCTGAGCCTCGGCACCGTGGTGCCGGTGATGCTGTCCGGCATCTGGGCCCTCGGCTACAACCTCTTGCTGTACAACATTGTCAGGGACCTCTCCCCGTTCTTCGCGTCGTTTGCCGCAAACTTCAAAAGGTGGCGGCCATCGCCCTGGCCCTGCTCATGGGCATGGAGTCGCTGCAGGCCGGCCGCTGGAAGTGCCTGATGTGCGCGGGCGTGGCGGGGAACATTGCGGCCTGCACCGCGTACAGCCTGTGGCCGCCGCAGCCGAAGAAGGAGCTCTCTGAAGAATGCAGCAGGGCTCTGCTGCAAAAAAGGCGGACGCCTGAGGCCCTCGCCACTCTCGCCGAGGAGCGCCGAGAAGGGCGCCGGGCGCCTTGGCGTCGAAGGAGTGCCGTCAGGCGCGCGCGCGCGCATGGCGTGCGTCGAGTGATCTCGCGCCCTGACGGCCGCGGCTAATTTAGGCAGCCTGCGAATCGCTGAACCGCTGTGCGCACGGAGTCTTACCCCTTCTCTCCTCTTCCCGCTCCTCCTCCTATTCCTCGCCGGGGAGCAGGTGGAGGATATCTCTTAGATCCGTCGGTGCCCATGTCTTTTAGAGGAGCAGGCAGTGCTCGAGGCCTGACGAGGACACTGCCTAGATTCGGTGGATCGCGCAAACCTCGTCCTCATGACGAGGCATGAGCTCCTCCGACTGCACCGAAACGAGATACTATCTGACGCTGTCGGCTGTGGTGGTCGTTTCCTAGTTTCATTGTTGGCGATCGAATGTTCAGAAAGCGAATTGGTCGGCGCCTCAGTATGTGTGCAGTTCGTGCCAAATTCGCCCTTTTGTTCTATCTTTTCACTCCATTCGCTACGCTTTGTGTGTGCACCCGTGGATTTTTTACCAGGCGAGTTTGCGCCAAGCGATGCGTTTCTACCAGTGTGTGTGTATATATATATATATACATATACATATATATATATATATATATACAAACACTCCTCCTCATCTGCTGCCCCGAGCACGGGCAGGGTCGCCAGCGAGCAGCAGTGCGGCCAATTTCCGGCAAATGCTGGCGCACGGCGCCGAGTTTTGTTTTTTTTGTGCGGCCGCCCCGAGCATAGGCAAGGCCACCAGCTTTCCCCCGGACCGCCGTCTCCTCGGTGCCCCCATCAGCCCTTCTATCCTTCCCTCCGTCCTCTTCCCTCCTTTCCCTCCCTTAGGGGAGTGCACTGGCAAAGACAGCTGGCACGATGCGTTGCGAGATCTTTGCGCAGTGACCAGCCAGGGCAGCGGCATATTGGCAAGGCTTATCCAAGCAGCCAGGCTTGCTACCTTGGCGTACCTTCGTGCTCTCGTACTTCTGCAGGTTTATCCGTCAGCTGGCTCCTCAGCACTCTTCTTTGCCACTTACCCTTGGCTAGCTGCAGATTCATGTTGCTCGAGGCGTCGGTGCTGGCGCTCTGCGGACAGAAAACATTTCGGGCTGGGACTGGCTTGTTTTGACACATCGGGCTTATGTTCTAAGACCATTGTTTTTGTTATTAGAACATGGTGGGGTTCTAAGAACATGTCGTGGTAGGACTACAGGAATGCCGGGAAGGTCGGTTGGGACTGGCTTGTTTTAACACATCGGGCTTATGTTCTAAGACCACTGCTTTTGTTATTAGAACATGGTGGGGTGCTAGGAACATTTCGTGGTAGGACTACAGGAATGCCGGGAAGGTCGGTTGGGACTGGCTTGTTTCAACACATCGGGCTTATGTTCTAAGACCATTGCTTTTGTTATTAGAGCATGGTGGGGTTCTAGGAACATTTCGTGGTAGGACTACAGGAATGCCGGGAAGGTCGGTCCCTGCTCAAGTGTCGGCGTGGAACTGGCCGCGCGCGGCATCCGCGCGGCAGCCCGCGGGTGGCACCCCTCGGCCCGAGTTCTCCAGGGCTGGCTGCGCCCCTCACCTCCTCCCCAGACCCCCTCGAGTTATGACAAAATCACGACGGGAGGTTTTTCATTATTTTTGGCCTCTGGGGGCCCTTACCGGCCCTCGGGACCGTCAAAAAACGACTCAGGACGAAAAACCGGTCCCGGCGAATAGGTCCGGACCTCTGGGGGTCGCGTCATGAAAAAATCATGACGTCGGGGGTCTGGGTCTACCTCTCCGGTCCAGCCTGCCGGCCTGCCTTTCCTGTCTTGCTTGCCAGTCTGCCTCCTAGCTCGCCGTCCTACGTGACCTCGCCGTCGCTGCGGGATTGCGAACTGCGACACCGTCGCAACTGTCGAGTGTTGCTGGGGGTGTACAGCGGAGTGACGTCATACGCGGATTCAGATTGGACCTCACCATGCTTGGGGGGCTGCACACTGCGAAACTGTCGCCACTTGCGAGGACCGCTGGGGGTCCAGCGGAGTGGGGTTCCAAGCGGACCTAAATTTGATTTCGCCATCCTTGAGGGGGGGGCTGCGATCTGCCAAACTATCGCTACTTTCGAGGGCTGCCTTCACGAATCTAAATCAGACCTCGCCATCCCTGGGGGGGGCGCTGCGAACCGCGAAACTGTCGCCGCTTTCAAATGCTGCTGGGGGTCCAGCGGAGTGGGGTCCCACGCGGACCGAAAGAAGACTTCGCCATTCCTGTGGGGGGCTGCGATCTGCCAAGCTGTCGCCACTTTCGAGGGCTGCTGGGGGGTCAATCGGAGTGGGGTCCCGCGCGGACATAAATTGGACCTCGCGTTAAGCTTCGAGGGTTAGGCTGTTAGGGGTAGGGTAAGGGTGTTCGGGCTAATGTGCGTTAGGGGTGGGGGTGAGGTCTTAGAGTTAAGGTTCGGGTTAGGGTGTTCGGGGTAGGGCAGCGTGTTAGGATACGGTTTAGGGTGTTCGGCTTATGGGCGCAGGTCTGTGGTTCAGGTGTTAGTGTCAGGGTGTCAGGGATTAGGGCGTTGGGGTTATGGTTTGGGTTAGGGTGATAGGGTTTTAGGGTTAGGGTGTTGGTTTGGGATGGTAGGGTGGTGCGGTGTTAGGGTTAGGATGCTCGGCTTCGGGCATTAAAGTACAGGCTCGGATTCTTTGGGAAGGAGAATGGGGGGTAGCTAAGCCCCCCCTTCATTTCGGAAAGACAATAAGGGGGGAGCTGCCAGAGCGCGAAAGCGGGGAAAGCGGGGAGGGGGGTAGGGTAGCTTCCGCAGGGCGGAAGAAGGGGGGAGGGAGGGAGTGCTTCGGGCACGGGGGGGTCCAGGGGGGGGGGGGGGCGGGAGCAGCTAAGCCGCCCCTTTTGGAAAGGGCGAGAAGGAGGGGGGTAGCTTCCAGACCTCGAAAGGGGGGGGGAGGAGGTGGTAGCTTCCGTGGGGCGGCAAACAAGAGGGGAGGAGGGGGCTCCGGGCAGGGGAGGTCCAAAGGGGGGGGGGTAGTTGAGGGGGGACCCCCCTCCTTTGCTCTGGCGCTGCTTGCGCGCTCTCTCGTTGTGTACCACAGCCGTGTTCCTAGAAACGGTCATACGAGTGATCTGATCTAACATGTCCATGTCCCAGATCCCTCAGCTCTCCAGTTGTTCCGCGTGCGCTCCAAAAAGAAAGTGCCAGGAGCCCAGGAGGGGGCGCATCGACCCCCAAACGCCCATTCATCGCCGAAAAGAACCCGATTGCCCACCCAGCCTGGGTTCGTGTGGATTCGCTATCGGCGGCCTGTCGTTGATATACCGGCGATTTCCATGTCGACCCCCTGAGCTGGTCCCCCCCTTCCGTTGCCCTTAAATCCTTGGCCGATCGCATGCTGGCATCATTGTCGTCCTGTCCCCTGCGCTTGCGGGCCCGTGCAGGAAGTTTGCCGTGCGGGGCCAGCCGTGCGACACTCCGCAGAAAGGCCCCCGGGCCCACAGACCGCATCGGGCCCTCTCCCGAGGGGAGGAGGAGGAGGAGGGGAGGAGGAGCTGACCCGTTGTAAACCAAGAGTCAGAACTAGGACTGCTCGAGATGGGCAACTTAACTGTTTGGCACACCATAATCTGAATCTTTCCAAAAACAACATTTTCCTGCATACGTGATGATGTTTAATCCGTGAAAACTCTTACAAATGTTATGAAGCGAATGTGCGCGGCGCACGGCGAGAGCCCAGTTTGGAAGATCAACTGCCTTGCGTAGTTGTTGCGCACTCTTGCACGTGTTTGACATGAATGTACGCCGCTAAGGCGAGAACACATTTGAAAACCACCCGCTCCCATCCCTGAAGCTCCTTGCACATTTCTTTAAAACGAGTCTGCGCCGCGCCCAGGCGAGGGTCATTCTGAAACGGCCGCTTAAACACTTGCTCGGGTGCGACAGGGGACGTAATGTGGAAAAGGAGAGGCAGGAGGAGGAGAGGAGGAGGTGGGAGGATGATGGAGGGAGAGACGAGGGAGGTGGGAGGAAGAGGAGGGGGAAGAATGGGAGGAGAAGGAGGAGGAGGAAAAGGAAAAGAGAAAGGACAAGTAAGGGGAAAAGGACGAGGGGGAGGAGGAAGAGGAGGAGGAGGAGGAGGAAGAGGAATAATAATGATAATGAGAAGAAGCAGGAGGAGGAGGAGAAGAGGAAAAAGAAACTGAATAAGAAAATATAATAATAAACATAAAAGAATAAGATAAGAACATCTAATCATGCGAAGAAGAAGAAAGAAGAAGATGAGGAGGGGTAGGAGAAGTAGGGGGAAAACCGGAAGAGAAGGAGAGAGGAAAAAGGAAGGACGAGGGGAGGGAAATGGAGAGGGGAGGGCACATGAGGGGGAGGAGGAGGAAGGAGGAGGGGGGGAGGAGGAGGAGGAGGAAGGGGAGAGTGGGGGGGGG